TAATTAGTGACCGTTGTTTTGTTTTGATCTTTTCGCTGCACTTCCGCGTTCGTCACTTCTGAGCGACGCATGCACAACACTGACCTCATACGTCATCCGCCCGGAACTGCTTCCATTTACAACAGTGAGCGCAAGCTAGATTTAAGTGATTATTACGTTTTAAATATGGATATTATTCTTACAAAAACTCATCGATTCACTACAGGAGGCCTTTGTTCACCCCCCGGAGCCGTGTGAGGAACTTTTTATTATGGATGGACGCTTTTTATTTAACTTCTTTTGGACTGAAGCACTGCAACACCCATTGACTGCAATGATCGAGCTTGGAATGGCCAGGACAATTTTTAATATAACTACATTTTAATATAATAAATAGGAAAATTATGTCCTTGGATATTTGCATTTCAAAACATCTTTTCTAACACTGACTGAGACATACCATGCTGCCTAACATTGTGTGACATGATCTTTCTCTTTCACAAGTTTTCAAAGGCCACATCTGTATTCTCTTCAGAGCTTGTAGAGAGAGAGTCTATTTACACACTGATGTTCCAAGAAATGTATTTAGGCTAAGCAAATTTATTCAGAATTCAGAGCAATTAAAACAATGGGTCTCATTGTGTATGCACAAATTTGTGTGTGACGTCTATGTACAAACATTTTCACGAATAAAATCATGATTCATCAATAACTTGGATACAAAAATGTATTCTAAATTCACGGAAAAATGTAGGAACTACCGAAACCACACATACACAAAAATGGTCTTCTCTGGGTGGTGCTATAAAACGTGTTAGATGAAATTTTATACATTGATATTTCATAAAAGCAATGATATTCATATGTCTGTAATCTGGTTGTGTGTATAAAAAGTGTTTGAAATGGGTTTTAAGGATGGCAGACTTGGCATTGCTTGAGAATCTTGTTGCACATGCTCTCAGGTGAGAGTGTGTCTTCAGAAAGCGTCATGTGTTTGCGGAGTCAGATAAAAGATTGTGCCGAAATCCCTTATAAAGAGATGCTTTGAGTGTGTTTTATGCAAAATAACTAACCTTGGGCACATGGTCACTTATTTAGCGTACTCAATTCATTCACATTAGAATGAGATTATAAGCAGATTCATGTGCACATGCATGTGTTGTGGATTTTTTTTTTTCAAATATTTTCTGTATGATGGTTGAGGCCTCTGAAGAAGGTACCTTGTTGGCCCATCAACATATTTCAGTTTCTCTGTATCTTTTAATGATTTTTTCCCCCCTCAAGAATCCAACGGTCAAGTGGATGGAACACCTAACGAGATGACGCTCACTCCGTTATCATCAAACGAGTCCCTTCCTGAACAGCCCTTCATTCCTTCATTCATCAAGTCCAACTGGCTCAGAAGTTTCCAGGTTCCCTGGAACCGCATGCCAGCAGCTCTCGCTCAGGCCACGTCCACTGGAGAGAGAGCTCGACCAGGACCGAGAAGGGAGTTTGTTAGGATCGTGGTGGCAGCCATGCAAGCCCACTGTCCAAACCCAAACTTAGCCGCTTGTGGGGAAGTGGCACGAAACATCGTGTCTGCATATCCCCTGACATTCGGAGACATTTCTGAGGAAGGAGAACAACTAGGAAATGGCTTCAGTTGCTTACAAAGACAACTAAAAACTAGGGTAGAACATGTGAATAGAGATGTTATGGAACACAGGATTCGTCGACCTAGAAGACCATCAGCGAAAAGACCTGGACAACAGGACAACTACATGAGGACAAAAGTCAGATGTAAAGTGGACAGTTACGGATGCATCAATTGGCAGCCATCTTCCATCCCAGAAGGAGAGACGGCAGAATCTCTTGAAATGAAGAGGAAGGTTGCGGCAGAGATTTTTCAGTCTGCAGGCCCAAAGGCTGCCGAGTTGCCCAACGTAGGTGACTTAATGCAGCAGACGTATGTTTACCAGCGCCACATGATCAACTCATGCCCCCCTCCTACCATCAGTGAGATTGAGGGGCATTGGCCGTTACTGTTCACTGAAAGAGGCCTCTGCAGGCACTTCAAAATCCTGACTGGGATTGACATCAGAAGCCGCTTTAACGAAACTCTTTTTGTTAAATCCAAGAGAATACTGAACTACTTCAGTAGACAGAGACTGAAGTGGAGTGAAGAGATCCAGAGTATGCTAAGTGAGATCGACGACGCCAATGCAACAGATAATAACAAGACTGCCATGTCAGCCATCCTGTTGATGATGAAACTCTTTAAGGAAAAGGACAACGCTGTGTTCATCTTAGCAGATGTCAGTAACTATGAAATGTTGCAGTTCTACTTAAGTTTCGAATGGGTTTTGACAAAGCTTGAGTGTTAAAATGTTTTGATGTTCTGCTTTGAAGGAAAACTCTACCAAGACGTCCATCGAAAATGAAATGAGCTTACCGGCAACGCCCCGGCTCATCATGCTTGGTAAGACATTGCTACACTACAAATGGTAGGTTTTTTACTTGGACATATATTTAAGATGCTAAGATGGAAAGTCGTGGCCTAATGGTTAGAGAGTCGGACTCGTAACCCAAAGGTTGCGGGTTCGAGTCTCGTACCGGCAGGGATTGTGGGTGGGGGGAGTGAATGTACAGCGCTCTCTCTCCCACCTTCAATACCACGACTGAGGTGCCCTTGAGCAAGGCACCGAACCCCCAACTGCTCCCCGGGCGCCGCACCATAAATGGCTGCCCACTGCTCCGGGTGTGTGTTCACGGTGTGTGTGTGTTCACTGTTGTGTGTGTGCACTTTGGATGGGATAAATGCAGAGCACTAATTCTGAGTATGGGTCACCATACTTGGCCACATGTCACTTCACTATTTATAGTAATTTTTCATATTTCAGGTGAGACATTGCTGACTTCATCTAAGTGGTTTGTCAGTATTGAGGGCAGAGTAACACATTCTTTAGACGACCAGCTGGACTTTGCAGCGGCATTGTCTGTGTTCTTTGGGTGCTTCTACGTTTTTAATATCGAGTACGAGGAGTCAGCTAGCACCACCCTGGAGCTCATTCAGAGGTGAGTGTAGAGGACATTCGACCTGTTTGGCTTTTTTATTTATTTTATTTTTATATCTTACTCCCTTTCTTTTGGTATTTTACTTTGGTCTCTTTTGGATCAGAAACACTTAAGCTTATGGAGGTAAAATAGTTTGTGGATGCAATTTGATGGTGACTAATTAAATACTGTAACTAACAATTAAGCTTATTGGTTTGTTGATAAACTATACATAATTTACCAGAAACTCTTTTATGCAGGGTAGGTGATTTGGTTCAAAAACATTTTTTGTTATGCTGGTTGAAAGTCTCTTCACATCCTGATAGCAGTCACTAAGTTAAGTGGTCTAAATGTATTTATATAATCTGTGGAAGGCGTAGGACCATAAAATGTTCGTCCAATCATATCCCTCGGTCCGAGAACTACGATAGGCTCTCCAACCTGCCTGTCAATGTATGTATTTGCATATTTCCATGCACCGTTCTCGCAGACATGATACGCCATCAGTGCGTTCCATTACGGTATTGCAGAACGAGCAAGAAATAAGTTATTATTGTAATAATATGAGCTTTGTACTGAAATTTATTTATTTTTTTACCAGTGAATGAGACTCTAAGTAATCTGACAGCAGGAGTATATATATATATATATATATATATATAATCATTCAACCCTCCACCATCGCCGTCTCTCATGTTGCTAGTTAGCTTCTGGTCTGCCTGTGTGCATTCATGTGTTTTGGTGGAGGTGTGGCTTTGGAGAGTGATTATGCAGGCGGGGTGGGATCTAATGCTTTCAAAGCTAGATTACTATTTCTTGCCTCTCTGAAATCGCCTACCCTACTTTTTAATAGGATTAGGTAAACAAGGTTATGGCTCCCTGTTTAGGGTGTCCTGGAACTTATATAAAATAGCAAACCTCTAACCCCTTTTAAACCGTGTTTCTGTGATTGACATAGTTGTAGGCCTTGTGAAATTGATGTTTTGTTTAAAAATTGATCTACTGTTCTTTAGGTTTTTCGTAAGGATTAATCCTGAGGGGACTAAATGCACCTCAAAATCAGGTATAAGCCGAAGGACGGGTTCAGCTGTCCAAAGGAAACCCCAAAACTTTAATACCCGCGTGGCTACGTTTATGCAGAGGCTTTCAGAATTCGAGTGGAAAACAACAAGTTAAGTAAGTGCGAGCAGTTTTATAAAGTTGAAAAAAATCTTTGTATAGAATTTTTAAGCCAAACTTTTGTTATTAAAGGTATGGGATTAAACACTTAAATGTGAACACGTAATGAGTTATAAAAGGTGTTCTGAAAGTAACAGCTGACAATAATCAGTTTTTTCATGTGTTTCAGAATTGTCTTCATCCTGGCCCTGCTCTGAATACTACTACTACTGCTACTATGATGAGTTACTACTTAAAGTGACAATTTTTCACATTGCGATACCTTCTTTTTTTTACTTTATTACTTGTACTGTTCTATTTGAATGTTGCTGTAATGTTTATACTAAATATTTTATTACGTTCCTTTAAGTCATTCATGCAACAATAAAAAATGTATCAACTAAATGTTTTTTTTTTTTTTTAAATTAAGGAATAATATGATTACAGTGATACTATAATGTTGTGGTACTACTTACTTTATACAATAGCTACAAGTAGATTACAGCAGATTTTTGTATTGTGTATTGTTTACTGTAAATAAGTAATCAAAACAGTACTGTAATTGCAGTAACCTGCTGATAAAAATAGAAGTCTTAACAGTGTACTTTTAAATGAACAAGTACAATTAAACGTACAGATTCAACCCGAAAAGCAAACCTATTGAAGATGTTTTGCACACGGATCCAGCCTAATTTGAAACCTGGTGAGTTTTTCCTTAGTAGTGTGAATTTCAACACTTTCTGTACCACAGAACATGGTAAAAGCTATGCTTACCTATGTTACATAGATCACTACTGCGGCATGTTGAGGAGAAGCGTGATATTTCCTAAAACTTGCCTGACAGATGATAAATAAATTGGGTGAAAGAGCCTTACAGACTCTTGTCAGATATCAAAGAGAGATAAGGTGGGCTTGTTTGACGTGGGCCAGAGAGCAACTACAGAACACCCTAGCAAGCACTATACAACAACACTCACTATTTCAGAGTGCGCCAGCAACAACGTTTTGGCCGTTTTTGTTTTGTTCTTTCTTTTGTAAAATTCCAATTGGAACGCTCACACAAATGGAGAGAGAGCAAGCGCAAATCCTGGCAGCGCCAGCTGCCACTAGTCGTTTCTGCTGGGCATGCTGGGGTGATAGGGAATGAGCAGGCAGATTATATAGCGAAGGAGAGCTTAGGAAGAGAAATAGATATCCATGTATCCTTGGGGAGGGTGGAACTGAGGGAAAGAGTTAAAGAGGGCTTAATAAAAGAATGGCAGAGAGGATGGGAAAAGGAAATCAAGGGTAGACATTATTTTTCTATTCAACCTAAAGTTAAGAAAAGATGTTTTGTACTTGTCCATCTCGTAGGGACTCAGTTCAGACACGGTCTTTCTCGCCGTTTCTGCTGTTTGCTCGGTAAAACTACACTGTTCTCAGTGGCGTGCGGTGATGTTTTTTTTTTTTTAATGATGATGCAAAGTTCCATCTATTATACAGTAATAATTTTTATACAGTACATTTTTATGTATCAGTTGCCATAGTTCTTGCCAGGAGTCAAAGGCAGCTGCCAGAGTTCGTGGCAGCTGCCACTAGTCGTTTCTGGCAGCTGCCACGGTCTTTCTCGCCGTTTCTGCTGTTTGCTCGGTAAAACTACACTGTGTATACTATATACAGGGGCGTAGCCATCATTTCAGAAGTGAGGGGGACAGAAATGTTATATATATATATGCAGACAGTGCCTTGCGAAAGTATTCATACCCCTTCATATATACTTAAAAGGCAAAATGCAATTATATTTTGTATTTTTACACTATGTAATATTCTGTTTATCAAAACCGATAAATCTCATCAAGTTAGTGTTTTTACGTATTTTCATATTTATTCCAAAATAATAACAAAAGACAGTAACAATATAAACAATATATTTTATTTGTCAACTAATGTTCAGCTGTTCTTTTTAGCTTTACCAGCGGGTGTCGCTGTTGGACAGTTACTTTGTAAAAACTAGTGACTTTTACACTTTTTAATGTCACATTTTGTAATACTTGCGTTGTTTTATTTTTGTAATATCGATAACTTCCTCATCCAGTTTTTTTTTTCTAAAGAGACTCTGCCTCCCTTGCCTGGACTGATGGCAGAAGCCGTACAACACAAAGATCAGAAATTCATTCATCTTAAATTATGATCCTTGCGAAGTTGCGTCTTTGAGGTTATGTAAATTTTGGCAGGTTATTTTACATTAATTATTCAAATTAATAAAGTGATGAATGGAAATTGGGCAGTTCAATTAAGTATAGAATTTTTGTAATAGCTACAAAAATGAAAATGGAAAAATGTGGGATCACCGAGAAATGAAATGTTTTTTATTACAATTGTATAACTACGGTTTTACTACAAATAACATGCTTAAACTATGGTGAGTGTAGCAAAATGTTTTAACTGTAATAACCTTTTTTATTTGTTTCAAAACCATGTGTAATTTTCGTAAGTTTTTTTGCAAATAATTTTTACTGTTATTTTATAATGATAAACAGTAATAATATATTTATAATATTTATAGAAAGGATTTAATGTTAGAAAAGATAATTTATGCATGTACTGTAAATGCTCTTCAAGTTTGAGGCATTAATTGTAACAGTATATACACCAAATATTTTGACCATATTTTCTTCTTTCACAACAGGAAAACATTTTTTGAGAGACACCAGGACTGCAGCTGAC